ATAATAATAATAATAATAATAATAATAATAATAATAATAATAATAATAATAATAATAATAATAATAATAATTGCCACCATGTGTCCATAGTATTCTCCATGAGCTCTACAACTCTATTCTATGTATAATGTGTTGTCCACGAAAAATTAACGTACACATTGGTACGAGTGTAAAAAACTAGAAATATCATTGCAAATAATATCAAATCTGAATTATCTTTAAAATAGTGTTATGAAGACGTATATAAAAGCTCCTAAACGAAATAGTCAATTTCGAATTTAGCCAACGGACACTCTTTGAACAATCTTCTCCAACCCAAACCTCACCTTTCACCCATTCCACGTCCTCAGGTGCCTTTTTTCTCCATTACAATTCTATGTAGGCAACAGTTATGCATTTATAAGAAAAAAGAAAAAGAGAACGAAAAAGACGAGAGATTCAAACATAATTTGCACATAGAGCAGTGCAGTGAGCTTTTTGACCCTTGATTTCACACACACCCACATGAGTATTTGTGTATGTGGTGTGTAAGTCAAGGGCCAAACAGTCCAACTGCAGTGCCCCTAAGGGCAACATCAAACCCGACCCTTTGCACAATGCGCATGGCTTTTCAAGTCTTCTCAAGGTGATTGTATGTCCACCTTTCTTGCATGACTAAGTCCTAAACACACATCGACGCTACATGGTTAAAGATGCATCTACTTACTAACCAAAATTTCTCCCTAGCTATTAAAAGAAAAAAAGAACAACCTTTGAAAAATTTGATTTAACAAATTTATTAATCACGAATTATCTTCCCGTTCCAAATTTCAGTTCTCGAGTGGTCATAGCAAAAGATTGATACGACTAAAAAAAAGGGTCATTTTCAACGTAGGAAGATAAATACATGCAAATGTACAGTCACAAATATCATGGTTTGAACCCGTACAGATGAAATAGAAAATGAAATGAAGGCTATTTTTGTTCTAGCAGTCTGTGTTAATGGTCTTAATTTTATAGCTGTCACATTTCCTATCTCATTCCTCACTCAGCTTTGTGTATTCACACAATTAAACTGCACAAATATAAATTTTTTAATGGTCTAAATCACATATACATTGTGCAGCTGCACACTGTAAAGCATCATAAATTAAACAAAACTTAACAATGTAAGAAACTTATTTGACATCCAGTTCATGTTCACTGCAACAGATGAGCACCTGAGTCTGCCCTTGCCCATTTATCTAGAGGTAAAAATCCCCCTGGATGGATCAACAGAAATTATGCATGTATGATCTGCTCGAATTTATTCACGAGATTTATAATTGGATACATGTAATAATGTAGCACAACTAACCTACCAAGTTCAGCGTGATGTCCGACTCTTTTGGTAGGCAATCCTTCATCTGAGGGGAGATCAAAATTTCTGCAATAATTTATTCAAGGGATATTTACAAATTGACCCCTGAAATTTAAACTGATTCGAAAGATACCGGATATCTTTTAAAAATACAAAATGACACCCTTTAAAATGTCACAAGTCCAGCTCTGCAAGATCCTCCTGTGAATAGAGAAACAAATGTGAAAGGGTATTCGAAATTTCTAAAGATAACCAGTTTTTTTTGTATCAAGGCCAAAAGCCAATGTATTTTTCACTATCACACCTTTAATTTGAGGTCAGCAACTTGCCATGTACGATCTAACTGGTCAAAGTCAAAAATTCTCAGTCAGACGACTGATGGCTTCTAATTACCAGAATAAGGGGATTTCTTATGTACAAATTGGCTTATCCAATTGGAAAGCTCACTGTTGCTATGCGAAACAAGATATATCACGAATGCCACATAAGCTGCAGTTCCAGCAGAGATGAGGAAACCGAACAATGGCCCATTAACTTCAGAGACGAAAAAATGGAGCAGAAGATATCCATTAATCACCATTACTAGTGCAGCTACCGTCCAAGCAGCCCTCTATAGTACAGCCGAAAAAATAAAAAAGGAAAAAACAAAACACCAAGGATTAGATGCTCATCTCGACCCTTAAGAATGAGGAAAAGAAACTTACGAAATGAGATAGTTATCAAAAGAACACACAAACACCCGAGCTTTGGACTACTTACAAGAGCCCATATGTTAGTGAAATTTACATTAAGAAAAAAAGAGACTTCATTTCATATCACTCTACCCCTTTCATAAGCTAAAAAATATTTCAAAATTTTCACTGGTTTATCATTTTATAATTTAAATAGATAGGTACAAAGAGTACTCTAATGGTTAGACCAAATCACAAAATCAGCCAACCAAATGCTAAAATTACAGAAGAAGCTCCCAAATTTTCCTTTTTACTTTTGTCTTACTTTTTACACCCTTCATTAGCAAAGAAAGGATTTCAGAAACATAGCAAACACATTAATATAAAATATTCCAACCAGCCACGTAATTTTTTAACCAAATAATAATAATAATAATAATGATAATAATAATAATAATAATAATAATAATAATAATAATAATAATAATATCTGCAGTTCACTAGTTCAGTAGTTACCTCGAGCATGGGGGCAATCTTAAATACTCCCATCACCTCTTCCTTTGAAACTAGGGTCAAAAGCGGAATAAGCGCAAAAGGGATCTGCATCGACTGCAGCACATTAAGCCACTCATTCAACACATCCAGGGATGACTCGGACTTATTGAAAAGCAAAGCCACCACCATAGTCGGCACAATAGCACAGCTCCGGGTGATCAAAGCCCTAACCGATTTCTTGAGCCGTAAATTGAGAAAACCTCCCATTATGAACTGCCCAGCATAAGTTCCAGTGATCGTGCTACTCTGCCCAGCCGCCAATAACCCTATGCCCCATATGTAGAGGATTGGAAAAAGCCCCCCGCCATATTTCTCCTCGAGATACTCGCCCGCGTTCACGAGCCCTATACTGTTTGCCTCTGCACTTCCATAAAAGCCCTTGGCAAAGACAGCTGTGATGCATAAGTTAATCATAAAGGAGATAGCGAGTGCGGCCGAGGACTCGATCGAGTAGTAGTTGATGGCCTCTTGGACTTGTACTCTATTGTTGGGGTCAATTTCCCTCGACTGTACCAAGGCCGAGTGTAGGAACACATTGTGGGGCATTATCACGCATCCCACAACCCCAACTGCCTGGCGTATTGTCCTCGAGCTGAGTTTCGGGACCAATAGTCCTGTTTAAGACCATAAAAGATGATAGCAATCTCATCTTTTGATGTTTTAACTGAAGCCTAATATTCAGATTTATACCGAGTATGGACTTTTTTCTTTTGATCATTGCATCAGAAAAAAACTATGGAGGTTCAGCTTAATTACAAAGGAACTCCAGTTACAGTTCAGTCTTACAGCTAACTCGACAAGATATTTATTTGCCTAAATTACTTCATGTAATAGCATGATTTGTAATGGCCAAACAAATGTCGAGGGGATGCGCATAATTTTAAAGTACGACTTGGTTGTCCGATTAGGTTAAACTCAAGGGCAGATTTTGTTACTAACTCTTTTTTTTTTTTCTTTAATATATTTTCTGCTAACGGTTTTAACCATTTTAAATGAAATGTTCAATCACAAGGATGTATCTAACCAATTAAAAGCTCGGTCTTGCTAGGCTTAGCATCTGCAAACATCCAAGCAAATGAAAGTGCCATAGTCGAAATCAGAACTGCAAACACAGCTTCCAACTTCCTCACCCCATAGTTCTCAAGAAGTAAGAACATAAAGCTGTATAAAAGTTTTGCAGAGAAAAATAGAAATTAGTGATTTATCAAAACTCATCACCTAAGAGAAAAACATATGACTGTAGGGCTAAGTACTAAGTACCATAAAGATATCAACTTTTGAAGCAAAATTACGTCGTTTACCAGTAATACTAGGAAAAGTAAAATCTACTAAAAAGTTCAAAATTTTCAAAAACAAAAAATGGGAATTACCAGTCAGAAGCAGTAATGAGAACCCCAGCCCAAATTGGCAGCAGGCCACGGCTCAAAATCTGGATGGCGATCGCGCTCCCAATCACCTCCTGAATATCCGCCCCGATAAGGGCCACCTCCGCCATGAACCACAGCACTATCCCCGCCCAGTACGGATACGCCTCCCGGCAGAGCTCCGCTAGGTGCCGCCCCGTCGCCACCCCAACCCTCGCCGACAGCAGCTGGATCAGCAGGCCCATTGCCGTGGCCCACATCAGCAGCCACAGCAGCGAGTAGCCGGCGATGGCCCCCGCCTGGAGATCCCCTTCCAAATTCCCCGGATCAAGAAACGCTATGCTCATCAGGAACCCAGGCCCGGTGAACAGCCACAGCTTCCGGAAAGAGAACGGCGGCGTTCCAGCGCAATCCGCGGAGTCCAGCTCGAACGTGCCGTCGCCGATCGCGATTTTCTCGACGGCCTCGAACGCCGACTCCACTTCCTCGGGGTCCGCCGGCTTGATCGATGCGGCAGCGGATGAGGGGGACGCCAGCGAGGGCAGCAGGCGGAGAAACTCTTCTCGTTCGGAGGGGGGCGCATGGTGTTTCGGCGAGGATGAAGTCATCGGAATGTATGTCGTTCGTTTTCGGGTGAGATGGGGTTTCCAAGATGTGAATTGATCGGCCGGCGGCAGCGATGAGCCAGATTGCGGTGGTCGTTCGATGGCGGGATTTGGGGATTTTAATAGATTAAGGGGGGTGTATTCAATTAGGACTTTTAGGGACATTTTAAGACTTTGAAAATTTAG